TAGCTCTGCAATATGATTCTGTTTTTATATTTAATTATGATCATGTCTCTCCGTGTTGTTGCCATGGCACCAAACTAACCCCTCAAACTGTGTGAATACTGAGTAAATCCTGTCCCCCTTACCGATGGGTCCTCCGTATGGAGCTGCAGCCACCAGAGAGTCTCTGAGTCCGTCCCTCAGGTTCCAGCACATCTCATACAGCTCTGTCTTACTGCAGACAGACAGACACACACACACACACACACACACAACACACTTTTATGTAAATATAAACAACCACTAACACGTCACACACACAGGGACGCACACTGTGTCACAGTGCATCATGGTAAATGTTTACTTCAGTATAAAGCGTCACAGTTTTGACTTCCTGTTCTGCTCCACCAGACTCCATTTACAAATCTGACATTTTGACACTGTTGTGTTTCTCGGTGACGTTAAACAACACCTGTTCACCTGACTGAAGGCGGATTCTGATTGGTTACAGTCCTCTGCCCAGTTCGTCGTGACAGTAACTCACCTGACGTCATCACCTGTTTGGTTAAAGTAATAAAAAACTGTCGCTGTGTTTCTATTGAAGCTACAGTGAGCTAGCAGCTAACGTTAGCCTGTTTACAGCTGCGAGGCTAACGTTAGCTACTGAGTGAGCGACCTGCCGGAAGTACACTGACCGATAAAAAGCTTCTCCCAGCGGGTTCCAGTTGGCTGTGATGAACGCCATGTCCGGAGAGCCCCGACCGTCTTCACTGTGATGATGAAGAGGAGGAGGAGGAGGATGGTGATGATGATCCTCTGTAAGCTTTAGCTTCGGCTCAGTCAGGTGATCACTTCTTCTTCTTCCGCCTTTCTTCTTCTTCTACGGTCGAATCAACAGCGCTCACTGTCGCCTCCCCGTGGCTGCAGAATTAATTATCAATAACATTGAAAACACGACAAAGACACATTTTCTAAAAATAAATAAATAAATAAATAACAAGAGATTAGAAACACTGAGATTATTTTCATTTATTTGTTTATAACATTTATAAGAAATTCACTACAACATTCAGAACACTATAAATAAATTAATATTATTATTTCTATGAATACATTACACAGTAAATGAACGAATGACTGAATGAAAAAAAGAAAAAGACACCAGACCAGGAACACTGAGGTCACCAGATGTTTATCTAACATTTATTATTAACATTTAAACAGTGTGAAGAGACACTTGTTACAACAAACGGTATCATAAATAAGTAAATAAATAAATAACAACAGAGCAGAAACACTGAGGTGTTTATTAACATGATCATCTGTGGTCTGTTGTGTTCTTCATGTTCTCACAGGATGGAACAGGGAATTCCTGACGTTCCCCAGTAACAGTGACAGGAAGTGACCTCCCGTCATAAACCACAGCTCAGAGTCCGGACTGCATTGTGTCTGAATTAATCCATGATGCAAGTCACTTCCTGTTTCCACCTCCGTCCATTCTGACCTGCTGCAGAACTGTTCTGCTGCTCACAGTCGGTGTGAAGACGGGCCGTTTGTCGCCGGGGCCTTTAGACCTGGTCCTCAAAGACCCCGAGGACAGTTTGGCTCCGTTTCCACCGAGCAGTTCAGTTCAGTTCAGTTCAGTTCAGTTCAGTTCAGTTCAGTTCAGTTCAGTCACAGTTTCTGTCTCCACAGTGAAAGTTGTGGATGGTCCCAACAGAAGCGTTCCTTAGCGTCCCCATGTTTGGTCCCCCCTCTGTTGGGGTACCTAGCACACAGATCTGGTACTAAAAGGTGGAGCTAGAAACCCTGCAGTCTGATTGGTCAGTAGAGGACGCTCACTCTGGTTTTATGTAACCTCTGTTCATACATCAGTAAACTACAACTATAAAATGAAAGAGAAAAAAATAACTTCATTCACTGGGCCGACTGCCGGCAACTTTTAAGGTGGAACGTTAACTTGTAATGTTACTCAATGCATGAGTTGATGACGTGAATCCATGCAGTAAATACAACTGATAAATACACCTTAAGACATTTATTTATCAGTTGTATTTACTGCACGCCTTTTTTAAACTGTTATTTTGATCTTTTTATCTTAAATCTGTGGATACTGCTGGAAGATGTGAATTTCCCTCGGGGTGAATAAAGTATCTATCTATCATCTATCTATCTGAATCCGTCAGCACACCTTAAATTTGACAAATTCGTTTTTTTCGACATTTAATCAACATTTTTTCCACATTTTAACAATATCTTTTTGACATTTTAATAACTTTTCCTGGACATATTAACAGCATTTTATCGACATTTAATCAACATTTTTTTCGACATTTTAACAATATTTTTTCCACATTTTAACAACTTTTTTTTGACATTTTAACTTTTTTCAGCATTTCAACAACATTTTTTGGACATTAATCAACTTTTTTTTTTTACATTTTAACAATATTTTTTCGACATTTTAACATTTTTTTGACATTTTAACAATTTTTTTTGACATTTTAACAACATTTTTTGGACATTAATCACCCTTTTTTCAACATTTTGATATTTTTCGACATTTTAACAACTTTTTTCCAAAATTTTAACAACATTTTTTTTTGACATTTTAACAACTTTTTTTTCGACATTTTAACAATATTTTTTAGACATTTCAACAACTCTTTTTTTTTTATACATTTTAACATTTGTTCGACATTTTTTCAACATTTTGTGACATTAAAGGAGCTATATGTAAGAAAAATAAAGCAAATAGTCATGAAATCATCCTAATATGTTACAGAGACTAAGCAATAATGTTCATATAATGTTCATACTGATCTCACCAACAACAATAGTACAGCCAGAATATTCACATTTAAAAAACATTTTTATGTTTTCAATTTGTTTTGTTTTTTTTTGTGTTGAATTTTTTGGCCTGTTGCGCCACCCACCGCCGTCTACCAGTCACGCAGTCAGTAGAGTCTCAGCATCAGTTAAAGTTACGGCTGAGCTACAGCAGCACGGCAAGCAGCATTAGTAGTGTCCCGGTACATAGCATTAGCATAGCTCCTCAGCTGTATCCCGGCAGCAGCGTTAGCAGCAGAGAAGCCGGACTGCTGGAAAACCAAAGATCACGGACGCGGCGATGCGGCCCTGCCACAGCAGCCGCCCGTGGGCAAACAAATCAGTCTCCAGCGTGCCGCTGTCCAGCATCCTTGAATCTGTAGGGGAGGGGGGGCGGACACGACTCGCGGCAGTATTTTGAATTTGAGTGCAGTAACCGTTTTGGCCACATTCTTACATACAGCGCCTTTAAATCAAAACATTATTGTACATTTTATCAACTTGTTTCAGACATTTTATGAATATTCTTTGACATTTAATCAACACTGTGTTGAGCAGTTATTAAACTATTTGTATTTTTGAGACTTATCGGCTGTTTGGAGATGAGAAGGGTTGTGAGCGTCTCCTGTGGGCTACAGCAACACTAAGCCCCTGAGCTTGCCTGAGAAAGACTCAGGAATCACATGTAACACATGTAAGTGGCAGATTGCTTTTACTCGTGGGGGAGGGGCATAACACTTTAATAAAGCATCTGATTGGACGTTACATCAGTGTACGTCCTGAGCGCAGAATGAGACACATGGAGGACTCTGAGAGAGTCTGAGTATAAAGACTGAGAGACCTGCAGAGTCTGAAGCCAGGACGTGTTCCTTTAAACTGGGCACTGAGCGTAGAGGGGGCGGGGTCTGTCCTGAGGGGCGGGGTCAGCTCAAACCGGTCTGACATCACAGAGAGGAGGACTGTGTCTCTGTTTCGTGTTTTGAAGGTGAAGTCATCTGGAAGGAAACCTCACCCTCCCTCCTCCACACACACACACACACACACACACACACTAATACACACACCCCTCTCCTACCCCCGTCGCCATGGTGACAGCCCTCTCCCTGTGGGTGTGGTGGAGAGACACTGAGCCTGAGGCTGAACTGCAGAGAGAGAGAGTTAACCCCTTCATCTCCGAGTCATCCTCCTTATTTATTTATTTATTTATTTATTCATCATAACTGTGTTTCAGTGACGCTGTGTTTTTATTTACTGTCTGTAAGATATAAATGTTTATTTATCTGGTTTATAACTTTGATTAGCTGATAATAAATAAATTGTGTGAACGTGTTTTTATTTGTTTTTATTTCATTCATTAATCACAAATCAGATTTTATTTCTAAATGTTTATTATTTATTTCTTTTTTTTGCTATTTTGGTTTGTTTATTTTATATTAATCTTAAATTTTAAAATTATATTTTTTGAATGATTTATTATATTTTACTTTATTTGGTTTGTTTTGTATGTTTCCTTTAAACATTATGGCTCATCAATGTGGAAGTTTTTTATTTATTAATATCAGATTTTATTTCTTGATTTATTTTTCATAGATAAACATTATTATAATATCTTTTCTAATTCATTTATTTTATGGTTTTAACAGTTTTATTTAAACTTTGATTTTATATTATTTTAAATGTTACTTACTTCATCTTTAATATTTTTGATTTAATGTGTATTTATTTGTTTTTTATAAGCTTCCTTCAGAATTATAATGATTACATTTTATAGCTCATCGAAGTTTTTATTTCTTTATTATATTTAGATAATATTTGCCACATTTGTATGATTTTCTTTTTTATTCTTATTTTTATGTATATTTTATATTATATTTGTTGTTTTTTATTTGTGTTATTTATTCATTTTTATTGTTAATTACTATTTGATTTAATTAAATTAAAATGAATCAAAAACTATATTTTACACTACTTGTCATTATGAGTATGAATTTTTATAATAAGTATTTTTATTTATTAAAGGTGTCTTTTATTTTGACGTTCCTGTGACTTCCTGCGACACAAAGGTGCAGTCCATCTATATTTACAGACAGAGCTGTTCACGCTGTGGGAGTGAAGGGGTTAAAGGTGTGGACGTTTCCACAGTTGGGAAGTTAGACGGAAAGTTTTGCTCTGAGCCAACCAATCAGAGCGCAGCACACTCTGACACACACACACACACACACACACACACACACACACTCTCTCAGGGAGCTGCTGAGGTGGAGCTCAGTGTTTTTCTGCAGCTGAAAAAGTTCCTGCACTTTGAGGAGTTTTCGGTCGGACTGAGGACAGAGTCGTCATGGTGACCACTGAGACCCACCAGAGCCAGGACCTCCTGGTCCCCCAACAGAACCAGGACCAGCAGGACCAGTTTGTCCAGCAGGACCTGCAGGAGGAGGACCAGGTCTCCCCCTCGTCCCCCCTGGCGGGGTTCGACCCCGAGTCGATGGGTCACGGTCCCGTCAACGCCATCACCGTCCTCACACTGCTGGACAAACTGGTCAACATGCTGGACGCCGTGCAGGAGAACCAGAACAAGATGGAGGTGAGCCACGCCTTAACATCAGGTCTGACGGCGGGAGTCCACCACAGACACCAGTACAGACACCAGTACAGACACCAGAACTAACTCCAGTACAGAGAGAGATTTAAAGAAATCTAGTCAACTCGTACTTCACCTGCATGAAACAACAGTTGACACAAGTTCAGTGTTTCACAAGGTTGCTGCTCCAGGGTTGCCAGGTCTATAAAAACCATCCAAACCAAACTCCATTGAAAAAACTGTCAATTTAAAAGCAGTTTGTGTTCTTTCAGTCGCCATGACGTTGTCTGTAACTATGTAAAGACAACATGTGTCGATGTTGATCCAGAGACTCAGAGCAACTTTCCGAACCAAACTCCTCTCAAAAAACTGCTGATCTAACGTTGACAGTCACCCCACGTTTCCTGGTTCAGTGTTGCCAGCTCCATAAAATCCATCCAAACCAAACTCCAGTCAAAAAACTGTCGATTTAGTTGTAGCTTTAACCGTTGCCTTGGAAACAGTTTGTGTCATGTTTTTGGACTCTCTCTTCATCTCCTCTCTCACTCTGACCTCATTTTGCTTTTCTCTTCCTTTTATGAAAGTTTTGAACACACACACACACACACACGCACACACACACACACACAGATCTATTTCTGTCCCTCCGTCAGACGTCACATGACCCTCAGCAGCACTCGCTGGTCGCCACATGTTTCACTCTGCTGTGACTGTAGATTCCTGACATGTTTGTCATATTGAGACACTTCAGCAGAAACAATTTAAACACAAACATCATGTCCTGGCTGAGACCTGTGGGTGCGTTTATTCCTGCAGCAGGCGTCGCCCTGCAGACCAGCCTGTCACTGGTTAATGACCACGTTTATGACAGTAAAATATATGAACACCCCAGTGACTCGTTAAGACTCTGAATCAGCTGAGTGGTGATTGGCTGGCTGTGTTTCAGGTTCACCAGGTGGAGATGGAGGGCGTGGTCAGAGGGATCCAGGCTGACATGACCAAACTGTCCAAAAGCCACAGCCACACCTCCAACACCGTCAGCAAGCTGCTGGACAAGAGCCGCAAACTGTCCGTCACCATGAAGGAGGTATGACGCCCAAATATATTTACACCTGTCTCTAAATATATCACACCTGTCTCTAAATATATCACACCTGTCACTAAATATATCACACCTGTCACTGTCACTAAATATATCACACCTGTCACTGTCACTACATATATCACACCTGTCACTAAATATATCACACCTGTCACTGTCTCTAAATATATCACACCTGTCACTAAATATATCACACCTGTCACTGTCACTAAATATATCACACCTTTCTCTAAATATATCACACCTGTCACTAAATATATCACACCTGTCTTGTTGTGCTTCTGCAGGTGCGTGACAGGATGGAGCGTCAGGGTGTCCAGGTGAAGAAGCTGGAGGCAAACCATGCCCACCTGATCAGCAGGAACAACTTCAAAGTTCTCATCTTCCAGGTGAGTGTGATGGAGGTCAGAGGTTAAAGTTCTTTGTTAGTAAGGTTCTCCTCAGATCATCTGGTTCTCCTCAGACGGTCTGGTTCTCCTCAGACAGTCTGGTTCTCCTCAGATAGTCTGGTTCTCCTCAGACGGTCTGGTTCTCCTCAGATAGTCTCCCTGTCTGTTGGTGATTGTCAGTCATGACCTTATTTGGTCGTCAGCTGCAGCAAGAAGTGAACTGGAGTTCTCAGTGATCCGTGGTCATGTGGTCTGGTTGTCATGGTAACAACACAGTGAGTTATGAAGTCAGTGAGTGGAACAGTCAGCAGTTCTCAGGCCAGAACTGTGTGTTCTGTATCAACAGGTGAGTGTTTGTAGATCTGTATGAGCAGGATCACTGTGTACATGTGTGTTCTCTGTCCCGTCTCACCGACACTAAACATTCCTGTCCTCCCTAAAATACCCAGCATTCCTCAGTGCGTGTGTGAGTGTGTTCAGTGGGTGTGGTTCTGTGTCAGCTGTTTAACCCTTTCAGTCCCTGTGGGAACGAGGAGCTCTGGTCTTTGTCCTCCTGTTGGTGTTGTTCTGGTGTAAAGACCTGCATATCAGGATATGGACAAAAGTATGTGGACGGCCCCTTTAACAGTAGGGTTCTTCAAGGACAGTTAAGTTGTCCACCGACAGTATGGTTCTCCATAGATTTTATGATTTTCCACAGATAGGAAAGTTCCCCCATGATAGTTACGTTCTCCATGGACAGTAAAGTTCTCAACAGATCATACTGTGCTCCTCTGATAGTAAAGTTTTTGCAGATAGTATTGTTCTAGAAAAACAGTAAAGTTCTCCACAGACAGGAAAGTTCTCCTCTGACAGTTACGTTCTCCACAGAAAGAAGGGTTCCTCATGGATCATAAGGTTCCTCTCAGACAGTAAAGTTCTCAGCAGACAATATGGTATTCCTTTGATAATCAAGTTCTCCACATATAGTACTGTGTTCCTCTGATCATAAAGTTCCAGAAAACAATATGGTTCTCCACATACAGTAAGATTTCCACAGGCATCCTCCAAACTCCTCATCAACTTTTACAGATGCACAGTGGAGAGCATCCAAACTCTATCACAGTGTGGTACAGGAACTGCACTGTTCAGGGCAGAACGGTTCTCCAGCGTGTCATTAAAATGGCACAATTTGTCTGTGGAGCAGTGTGTATTTTAGTGGTGTCAGGGCAACTCTCTAAGAATTCATTGCCTGTAACCACGTTTACGTTTGCTGTGTACATGACAATAACCTCTTGACTCTTGAATGTTTACCTTGTCTTCCTATAATATTATGATAAGGTTTACTGGCATTCCTTTTAGGTTCCTCTGAGGTTCCACTATTGCCTGGTTCCCCTAAACTTCCTCTAGCCCGACAATCTCCAAAGGTTTCCCCAAGGTTTCCTTATGGTTTCCCTGAGTATTCCTGTAAACATGCCTTTATGTCCCTCTAATGTTCCTTTAAGCTTATGCTGAGGTTCCACTAAGGGTCCCTTAAGATATCCAAGGTTTGGTTTCTCAGATGTTTTCCTAATGTTCTCCTCTCCTTCAGGAGGAGAATGAGATCCCCTCCACTGTTTTTGTGAAGGATCCTCCTCCGTTCCCTCGTGATGAGATTTTGGAAGAAGGTGATGAATCGGCAGCGGGCGTCGAAGGCAACCAATCCCAGGAGGGCGGGCTCCATACCATTGACCTATCATCTGATGAGGACGTTGGGTTGGAGGCGGAGTTAGAGGATGAGGAGATGTGGCCTCACGATCTGGAGAACATGGAGAAGTCCAGAGCCGAGAAACTGAAACGTTCCAGTCTGAAGAAGGTAAGAAGGTCCAACTGAAGGTGTTCAGTCAGACAGACGTGCACAGTCAGACAGACAGGTGTAACAGTTTCTCCCTCCGCAGGTTGACAGTCTGAAGAAGGCGTTCTCCAGGCAGAACATTGAGAAGAAGATGACAAAGATCGGAACAAAGATTGTTTCTCAGGAACAACGAGAGAAGATCAAACAGAGAACCTCCAGTCTGAAGGTTTCACCTCTGACCTTCAGCATCAGGAAGGTACTCTTTGTTGTTCTAACACTCCTTTAATCTCAATATTATCAAGCATTCTCAGTTCCTCTTAGGTTCCCCTAACTTTTTCAAGTGCCACTAACGTTCCCCAAAGTTTCCTTTAACATTCCACTAGGTTCACCGCAAGTTCTTGTACCATTCCTCTAAGGTTACCCCATGAATCCCCTTAGAAAGGTTCCACTAACATCCACTGTAGAGCTCCTGTAACGTTGTACTAAGGTTCCTCCAACAACCCAAGGTTCCCAGAAATATATTTGCCCCAATGTTTAACTAGCAATGTTTCCCTGAAGTTCCCCTTAAATGTGCCCCAGGTATCCTTAACATGCCACCAAGATCCCCCACATTTTTGCTGTCAAGTACCTGTAAGGTTCCCCTTACAGGTACTTGACTTTACCCTAAAGTTCCTCTGGGGTTCTGCTAAGGATCCCCTAACAGTTAGATTAAGGTTCCCCCAGTGTTCCCTTCACATTTTCCTAATATTGCCCTGAGGTTACCCCTAGAATCCCCTTGATTCCCTTAAGATTTCCTTAGATTTCTAAATGTTCCGTGAAGATTGCTCTGACATTTTCTAAAGGTGTCATTAATGTTCTCCAAACTTCCTGTAACATCCCCTTATGTTTACCACTTACTTCTGTAACATTCCTTTAAGGTTTCCCCATGAATTCTCTTAGTAAGTGGCCACTGACATTCCCGCTAAAGTTCCTTCAATGTTCTACTAAGGTTCCTCAACAAAAACTTGCAGGTAATCAGTGTGATCCGCCGTCTTGTTACAACAGTTTACTTGCGTTATGTGTTGTGGAACAATCCCCATTGATGACACCTTGATTTCAATGGTTCTGATCAAATGTGGCGGAACACTGGATGGTTCTAGATAGCAGCAGGGTCCCCAGAGTCTTAAACAGAACTGGTTCAAGAGCCAGAGGTCCTTTGATGGAAAGAGGGTCTGCTAAGATTCTCTTAAGGGTCAAATAAAGTTCTCTAAGGTCCCGTACACATGCTGCGTTTGTTGCTCCCTGAAGTTGGGCTACCCTGGGTTCTCCATCTATCCCACAGACAATATTTAGGTACACATTTAGAACCACGTCTGGAAGAAGATCAGCTCTGAACTTTCTGGTACCTAGGTGATGATAAGGTGTTTATGGTAGAGTAGCAATGTCAGATGCATTTTACCTTCATGACCTTGAAAGTTGGCACAAGTGTAGCACCCAGCACCCGACCTCACGTTCTCCAGGCGGTAAAAGAGGCAACATGTGTCCCGTCCATTAAGTTACTACCAAGTTCCCCTGTTGTTCCACTTCTCTGACCTCTGACTGTCTGTGCTTTCAGCCTCGCAGCAGCTCCGACTCACAGCCCCCCGAGGCTTCCCCTCAGGCGGGGGAGTCTGTCTTCACAGAGGCCGACGTCCAGCTCTCCCCGCTGGACAGCACCAACCAGGAGGTCCCCTTCACCGAGGTCCATGCCCAGCTGGCTCCAGCTGAGCATGAGGAGAAAGAGGAAGAGGAGGAGGTAAAAGAGGAAGAGGAGGAGGTGAAAGAGGAAGAGGAGAAGGAAGGCGAGGAGGTGTCAGGTGTGGAGGCGGATCTGTCGGTGGTTTCGGAGGGAGTCAGTCAGGAGTACACTTTGTCTGCCACCCTGCCTCAGGAGGAGAAAGAGGAGGAGTCCTAAACACTCGGATCTCTAAAGGAACAGTTCGGCCTTTATATAAAAGTGGAACTGTTCCTTTAAAGTTCAGAGCCGTTTAAGTATTTCTGTTATTGATAAAGTTCCACACACACACGTTCCTTCCACATATCTAATCATCTGTGCTGATATTTCATGTCTCTATATGTGAACCTTAGAACCTCGGTTCTCCAACATTTGAACTTTTCAGGAACTAAAAAGCAAAAACATGCTTTCTGTTTTGTAAAGTTTCGAATGAAGTCGGAGAATTTAAACGTTCATTTCTTCAACTGATCTGAAAACCTGAAAAATGAGAACACTTAAATTTGGAGATCCCCGGTTCTTTAGTTGTAGTTTTTTTTTTCTCTTTTTGTTTTTGTTCTAAACAGCTGACTGATAGAAACACTAATAATCTGCTGATCAATAACATTAATGTAAAATTTCCATTGGTGGGACCCAATGAGTTAGAACCTGGCAAGGTTCTCACAAACACACAGAACTCAGGGATCACTAAGGTAAACATGGTGCTGAACAGATCCCTGAATACAAAATGTCCCTCCAGTGTTCCACGAATCATCCCCAAACTGTCTACATTTATACTTGCCTAGTGGTGCCTCATTAGTTCTACCACTGTTTCCTAAACATTCCTCCAAGGTTCCTTAAATGTTGCCCTAACATTTTCCAAAGGATCCTTTATGGTTTCACTGAAGTGCCTCTAAGGTTCTACTGTGTTTGGCAAAAGTTCCCCAACAGTTCCCATAAAGCTTTTGTTGAGTTCTACTTAAGTTTCGCAAACATAGCCGAAAGAGTCCCATAAAGTCCGTCCGAGGTTCCTCAAAGGTTACCTTAAAATTTCCCGAAGGATCCCTTATGGTTACACAAAAGTATTTCTGAGGTTCTGCTATGGTTGGCCAAGGTTCTCCAAGAGTTCCTGTGAAATTTTTATGAGGTTAAGTTCCTTTAATATAGCCGTAAGATTCCCATTAAGTTCCCCAGAGGTTCCTCAAATGTTTCCTTAAAATTTTCATATGGATCCCTTATGTTTACACTAAAGTACCTCTAAGGGTCTAGGATGTTTGGCCAAGGTTTCCCAAGAGTTTCCATAATATTTTTTTTGTGTGGTCTACTTAATTTCCTCTAACATAACCTTAAGAATCTCATAGAGTTCCCCAGAGGTTCCTCAAAGGTTACCTTAAAGTTTTTTTTTTCAAAAGATACCTCTAAGGTTCTACTGTTCTTGGCCCAGGTTCCCCAAGAGTTCCCATAACGTTTGTGTGAGGTTCTACAAAAGTCCCCTTAACATAGCTGTAACATTCCCATAAAGTTCTTCTAAGGTTCCTCAAATGCTGCCTTCAAATTTCCCAAAGGATTCCCTGTGGTTACAGTAAAGCACTTCTAGGGTTCCTCCTTGGTTGGTTCCTCCAGCGTCGTTCTACCCAAGGTCTCACAAAGACTCCCCCGGGGTTCCTACAAGGTTCCTCAAACATTCCACTTGGGTTCCCCTCAAAGGTTCCCTCAAGTTTCCACTGAGGTCCCATCAAGGTTCCCCCAACATTTTCCAAATGTTCTCCTGTCATTCCTGTCTGTTATCTGTTACTGAAGAACTCTGAAATGTTTTGCTTTCCACTGATCAATAAGTTGATCAGTTTCCTGCAGTGTGTGCGTGTGTGTGTGTGTGTTGATATCTACACTGATTAATAACCAGCCTGTTGATTGATTATCTGTTTACTAACGACACAAAGTATTATTAACTGTAACAGTGACAGAACCACTGATCAACAGACCTGATCAAACAGATTGATCCGTTGCATATCGATTGGAAACAGCCACAGAGTTAGAGACCGACTGTTTGTTCTGTTTGTTGTTTTCAGGTTTACAGTCACTGTTGTTCTTTTATTTACCGTTAATGAAACTTCCTGCTGCCAAAGAACATTTCCTGTTTGACTTCCTGTCAGACTGTCAGTCGTCCCCCAGGTGTGCCAGAACCACCTGAACTGTGTAATCAATAAAAACCGTGTAACCGCCGCTCTGTTTCCTGTCTCTGATTTTAACCCAGAACTTAATTAACTTCTTTTGGTCGAACAAAACAAGATGGTTCTCACAGTTTTCTGATATAAACACATATATTTTATAATTTAATCTGAGATGTAATCAATTGACTAATTGATTGACTGATCTGAAGGGATCTGCCAAAGTTAAAGTCCTGAGTTCTCTGTAGAATCAGCTGTTTAATGAATGAGGTTTGATTCAGACTCGGTTGACCTTTGGAGGGGGCGGGGTCAGGGAGTGGGGTGGTCTCCTCAGCAGCCAATGGGATGACTCGAGGCAGGGCTTAGAACCAACATAGCCAATAGAGACAGGCGGGGGCGTGGGTCTGAGACGTCACTCCATAGTCACAGAGTTGGAGCCTGAATTTTCATCCAGACACTGCTTCTGTCTGAAGTACCACAGAGTTCTCCTACAAGGTTCTACTACAGAGTTCTACAACAGAGTTGGACTGGGTTCTTCTTCTGTGGTGCAGATGGACTCAGTAGCGCCCCCCGGCCTCTCTCTGGTCTCTGTCCTGTCTCTGTTAGCATGTAGCATCCAGGTGTTAGCTGCCGTCCTGCTAGCACGCAGGTATGGTGGGCGGAGCTCCGCAGAGGACAGGTGGATCCTGATGTGGCTGTTTTATGATGTCATCGTCCACCTGACACTGGTACGAACAACTGGGACCTGATTTATATTTGTTTATCATTCTTCAGCTTGTCCTGTCCACAGGACGCTGTGGGGGGTTTAGTGAAAACTCTGAGTGTGTTAACTCTGAAATGAGGGAAACTCTGGGTTTTCAGTTCCAGACAGAGAGGTAAGTCAAACTCAGAGTCAATCACCATGGCAACTGACTCTGTGAACCTAACCTGCTCACTCAGAGTAAGTCAACTCAGAGTTCAGGATTAGACTCAGAGTTTGTTGAACCTCCTGGAATACCCCTCTGATTGTTGTTTGTTCTTTATGTTTTTATTGTCCATCTGTCCACAGGAAGGTCCGTTTGTCTACATGTCTCTGGTTGGGACAGTGGAGACGTCTGAAGGTCCTCTGGCTGAACTCTGTGAGTACTCTACTGGAGTACCTCCATTGTTACTACCTTTATACTTGTACTGTACTATACTGTACTTCCAGTGTGTACTCGAGTACTTTTACTACAGTAACTGTAACCGTGTGTCTGTAGGGAAGGAGTACGGTAAAGCTGATGGTCGCTGGCTCATTTCTGATCCGACCATCGTCTCCATCGAAATACTGACCGTCGTCCTCGACTCACTGCTCGCTGTGCTCCTGATACACGCAGTACTGAGGGACAAATACTACAGGTAATACTACGACGTTTTGCCCTTGTTTTGAACATGGGAGGATCCTTTGTGCTTCCTCCCGAACTAGAATGATTCCTCTGTCCTTGTTCTCTAACTAGGACATGTCCTCTGTCCTTGTTCCCTAACTAGGATGCTTCCTCTGTCCTTGTTCTGTTAGTAGGAAGCAACCTTTGTTCTTGTTCTCAAAGTAGGGCGCCTCCTCTGATCTTGTTTCCTAACTGGTGAGCTTCCTCTGTCCATCTTCCATAACTACGACATTTTCTCTGTCCTTGTTTCCTAAATAGGATACTTCCTCTGTTCTTGTATCCTAACTAAGACGCTTCTTTGTTCCCTAAGTAGGACACACCCTCTGTCCTTGTTCCCTAACCAGAATGCCTCCTCTGTAAATAAGAAGCTTCTTGTTCCATAAATAGTGAGCATCCTATTTCCTCGGTCCCTTAGTAAGAAGCTTTCTCTGTCCTTGTTCCCTTACACTTCCCTGAAGGACAGTTACCATAGTAACAGTACCTGCTGTGTGTTTGCAGACACTTCCTGCAGGTGTCTCTGAGCGTGTGCGAGCTGTACGGCTGCTGGATGACGTTCTGTCCTGATTGGCTGGTGGGCAGTCCTCACCTGGACACGTCCTCCTGGATCTACCTGTGGGTCTACCTGGTCTTCTTCAATGGGGTCTGGGTCCTGGTCCCGGTTCTGCTGCTGCTCCAGTCCTGGTTCTCTCTGAGGCAGCTGCACATGCTCAGAGCAGACGGTGGCATCAACAAGAAGACGGCGTAGAGACAACGGACGGTGTTTTAAATGTTATTGGAATGTTATTGATCGACACCTGAGACTGACTGATTGATTGGCTGATTAATTAGAGTCAACACTGTTCACATAGATCACTGATATGAGACTTTAATGATCGGTCCCTACAGTCTGATTATTGATCAGTCGTCACATCCTTACAGCAAACAACAGATAATTATTATAAATAATAAATGTAGAGACATTAATATTTACTAGTTTCCTTCACATCATTTCTCTCTTTATCCACTCTCTCTACGCTCCTCCTCCTCCTCCTCCTCCTCCTCCTCCTCTCAGCTCTTCTTGATGAGTTTGTTGACGGACATGAAGGCCTGTTGGAGGCCGAGTCCTTTCAGAGCGCTGCAGGCCTGAATCTCCCACAGCCGGTCTACGTAACTGGGAAGGTCCAACTGATTGGAGATCTGATGGGGAGGAGGAGGAGGAGGAAGAGGAGGAGGAGGAGGAAGAGGAGGAGGAGGGGGGGCGGGAGGCAGAGAGCAGGAGGGGGGTACAGGGAGGGATGGACAAAAAACAATGATGAGGAGATGAGTTAAAAAGGCTTGAATTCACAACTAGTTAGTGTAGTTCACTAAACAGGACGCTTCCTCTGTCCTTATCCCCTAACTAGGAAGCTTTCTCTGTCCTTGTTTTGTAAATAAGAAGCATCCTCTGTCCTAGTTCCTCAACTAGGAAACTTCCTCTGTCTTTGCTCCCTAACCATGACGTCTTCTCTATCCTTGCTCCCTAATTAGGAAGCTTCCTCTGTCCTTGTTCCTCAACTAGGAAACTTCCTCTGTTTTTGTTCCCTAACCATGACGTCTTCTCTATCCTTGCTCCCTAATTAGGAAGCTTCTTCTGTCCTTGTTCCAAAAATAGTACTTATCCTATGTCCTTTTTCCCTAACCAGGTAGCTTATTTTGCCATTGTTCCCAAACTAGAACACTTCCCCTGGGACGCCTCCTCTGATCTTGTTCCCTAATTAGGAAGCTCCCTCTGTCCTTGTTTCCTAACTAGGATACTTCCTCTTTCCTTGTTCCCTAACGAGGAAGCTTCCTCTGTCCTTGGTCCCTAACTAGGAGGCATCCTCTGTCCTTGGTCCCTACTTAAGAAGTTTTTTCTGTTCTTGTTCTGTAACTAGGACACTTCCTCTGTCCTTTTTCCCTAACTAGGATGCTTCCTCTGTCCTTGGTCCCTAACTAGGATGCTTCCTCTGTCCTTGGTCCCTACTTAAGAAGTTTTTTCTGTTCTTGTTCTGTAACTAGGATGCTTCCTGTGTCCTTGGTCCCTAAATAGGACGCTTCCTCTGTCCTTGGTCCCTAACTAGGATGCTCCCTCTGTCCTTGTTCCCTAACGAAGAAGCTTCCTCTGTCCTTGGTCCCTAACTAGGACGCTTCCTCTGTCCTTGGTCCCTAACTAGGACGCTTCCTCTGTCCTTGGTCCCCAACTAGGAAACTTCCTCTGTCTTTGCTCCCTAACCATAATGTCTTGTCTATCCTTGCTCCCTAATTAGGAAGCTCCCTCTGTCCTTGTTCCAAAAATAGTACTTATCCTATGTCCTTTTTCCCTAACCAGGTAGCTTATTTTGTCATTGTTCCCAAACTAGAACACTTCCCCTGGGACGCCTCCTCTGATCTTGTTCCCTAATTAGGAAGCTCCCTCTGTCCGTGTTTCCTAACTAGGGTGCTTCCTCTTTCCTTGTTCCCTAATGAGGAAGCTTCCTCTTTCCTTGTTCTGTAACTAGGACACTTCTTCTATCCATGGTCCCTAAATAGGAAGCTTCTTCTATCCTTGGTCCCTAACTAGGACACTTCCTCTGTCCTTGGTCCCCAACTAGGATGCTTCCTCTATCCTTGGTCCCTAACTAGGATGCTTCCTCTGTCCTTGGACCCTAACTAGGACACTTCCTCTGTCATTGGTCCATAACTAGGACACTTCCTCTGTCATTGGTCCATAACTAGGTGGCTTCCTCTGTCCTTTTTCCCTAACTAGGAAGCTTCCTCTGTCCTTGTTCTATAACTAGAACACTTCCTCTGTCCTTGGTCCCTAACTAGGACGCTTCCTCTGTCCTTGGTCCATAACTAGGAGGCTTTCTCTGTCCTTGTTCTGTAACTAGGATGCTACCTCTGACCTCGTTCCCTAATTAGGAAGCCTCTGTCCTTGTTTTGTAAATAAGAAGCATCCTATGTTCTTGTTCACTAACTAGAAAGCTTGTGGTTGAGGTTGAGGTTGTGGTTGTGGTTGTGGTTG